TAGACGTGTTTTATTGTTGCTCCGTTATTCGAACCAATTTTCTGCCGTACTCTGCCCTCTCGGGCGATTCTATCTTCAGCACTGCACTGTATCAAGGCACTTTACTTGAAAAACAAATAAGTATCAACGTCGAATCGGCGGGGTAGGCCTCTGCTGACCACTGGGCCAGGTATATATTTCTGGAAACTGTCGATAAGAGGATTGCGAGTCTTGGCGGTGTTTACATGACCCACAACAAGACACGAGACAAACGGCTGACAGATGGCAACAAACGGAGACACCGGGGGCGAAGAGGGGTGTATGCGGAGGTCTTCGAGCGCGGCGCTTTTAAAAACGCATTTAGAAAATTCAGGTACGTTGGAGAAATCTGTTGAGGCACTAAATGTGTCAAGGGTAAGTGCGCTGAGGGCTTCAATTGAAAGGCACAGTGATATGATATCAAGGGCATTGTTGACAAGTAAGGATACGGCTAACAATCGGGCAACGATAGAGGCGGCGTTCCGGGCGTGTCGGGAAGCCTTTTTGGAGGTCTCCACGGTGCTCGTAAACAAGCTCGACGAAAAAATTGCACACAGAAGGATGGCGGGAGAGGACATCAGGAAGGTAGTCGAGGAGACATTGGCATCCAGTGGCCGAGGACTGTGCGCGGGTTGCAAAGAGGCTAGAAACGGGGGGGAGGGAAGAGGGAGAGCATCGTATGCTTCGATCGCCCGATCCCCAGCACCAGAGATACAAGTATCAAGAGGTCCGACGATAGAGTTGCCTAAAACCACAAGTTTTATGATCGTACCGGAGGAGGAAAGCAGGAGCAAGTACACGTCGTCACAGGAAGTCAAGGAAACACTATGCAAAGTGCTAAAGCCTGCGGAGTGTGGGCTAAGAGTAAGCAGGCTGACGCTCGTCAGGGACGGAGGAGTAAGGGTCGAAGCACTATCCCCAGACTTGGGAAAAATCAAGGACAATGAAGCGCTTGCCAAGGTGGGACTTAAGGTCCAAGAGAACATAAAATACAATCCGAGACTAATAGTGCACGGGGTGCCGGCAGATATGGCGGCGGAGGACATTGTACGGGAACTAGTCGCCCAGAATCTGGAAGGATGGGATGCTGAAACGGTAAAGATGATCTACCTTTTCAAGGCAAAACAAAACAAATATAAAACTAGTTGCGTCATCGAGGTCATACCGGAGGTGCGAAAGATCCTTCTGGAGCGTGGGAGAATATTTCTGAGATATGCAGCCTGTGCCCTTGCGGATCATGTAAGGATAGTGCAATGCTTCAAATGTCTCTCTTTTGGTCACTATGCGGCAAATTGTAGGGGTAAGCCTTCCTGTGGACACTGTACAGGGGAGCACGAAATGAAGGACTGCAGGAGCAGAGGCACAAAACCAAGATGTGCAAATTGTGTGCGACAGGCGGGGTCAAGGGGAGACTCAGCACACTCGGCAATAGATGCGACAAAGTGTCCAATACTATTAAGGAAAATTAGGGACAAGATAGCGCTCATTAACTATGGCTGACAGGGGAAAGGATATGGAGGACATTAGGATCTGCCACGTAAATTGTCAATCACTCACTGCACACCTAGACGAGTTTAGACACTTCTTCTTGAAAAACTGCTACCATATAATCTGTATGTCGGAGACGTGGCTGCGTCCGGGGGTCCCTGATGCCATGGTTAGTCTTCCGGGGTACTCGTTGTAT